TACAAATCAGCACAAGTGCTCGCTTTCACAAAGACAATGCAACGCTCTTGTTTAAAACATTTTCCGATGATGTTTCCTTCTTCACAAACTGGCGGTACCATCGAATATTTGGTCCATATATCAGAATCATCAGCAGCCCTGCAGTTTATATTGTGTATTTTCGAAAAGAGACTAAAAGCCCCATCAATAGTTCAATAGAATACACATAGTTACAAGAACAACAACTGCATAGTACATGATTTTCTAAAAGTGGAATTCTTGAATAACTCCATTCTTTGTGCTGCTCAAAATATATTCGGTTAAACTTTGATTTGGTCATGTTGGTAAGAAGACTTGGAGGAACACACCCAGTCCGGAGTCCATTCTATGCATAATACTTTCCAAAGTCGCACCGTGGATGTGGTACATTCACAGACGTTTCGCCGGCATCGTCAGTGAGTCTTGCCAGTCTTAGCACCAACTTACAACTCTTCAAAAAAAACAAACAAGTGAAGCCGATCCTTTGACTAATTGTTTGCAAATAATCGTGGTATATCTTACATGATTTTCTAAAAGTGGAATTCTTGAATAACTCAGGGGCTTCTCCATTCCTTTTCCTGCTCAAAATATATTCGGTTAAACCTTGATTTTGTCATGTTGGTAGGAAGACTTAGAGGAACACACCCAGTCCGAAGTTCATTGTATGCATGCACATTTCCAGAGTAGGACCGTGGACGTGGTACATTCCGTTTGAGCAAACAATTGTGGCATCTCTCCTTCCGCCCTGGGCTAATCACCAATCGGATATGCTCATTTCAGACCTTCAGTATAACAATTTATTACTTGCTCATTTAAATGTGGTATAATGTGCCCTTTTGAGCGGATTTCATGGGAACTATCTACATCCAACCCTGGCTTTCTAATCTATGCACTGATCTCTTGTGTGTCAACCCACAAATGTTGTGGCTCTACTTGTTTGGATTAGATTTAATGTAGAACCACAATATTTGTGGGTTTGCACACAGGTTACTATGGCATTGGAAGTCATAGAATTGGTATTAGGCGTAGAAACAGGATAGATGCGGTTGAGACTAGAACTATTTGGCTAAAAATAGACAATGAAATCCGCTCAAAATAAATAAGCAAATAAAAAATTGTTCTACTGAAGGTGTGATATGAGGATATCGGATTGGTGATTAGCCCAAGGCGAAAGGAGAGATGGCACAACTGTTTAGCACACTTTTGCTCAAACGGAATGTACCACGTCTACGGTCCAATACTGGAAATGATCATGCATACCATGCACTCCGGACTGGGTGTGTTCCTTTAAGTCTTCCTACCAACATGACCAAATCAAAGTTTAACCGAATATATTTTGAGCAAAAAATTAATCAAATGATCGGCTTCACTTGTTTTTTTTTGAAGAGTTGTAGGTTGGTGCTAAGACTGGCAAGACTCACTAACAATGCCGACTACGATGCCAACAAAACGTCCAAGAATGTACCAAGTTCACGGTCCTAATCTGAAAATAATCATGCATACAATGGACTCCGGACTGGGTGTGTTCCTCTAAGTCTTCCTACCAACATGACCGAGTTGCTAAAACAAGGTCAAACAACTTCCATACAACGAAAGGAGACTGCGACCATACAAAAAGACACACCATCTTGATCTTCATACCTTCGATAAAACATATATTTTAATCGGAGGTATGAAGACCAAGATGGTGTGGTCCAAGTCTTCCTACCAATATGACCAATTTGCGAAAACAAGGTCAAACAACTTCTATACCACGAAAGGAAACTGCGACCACACATAAGACCACACCTTCTTGGTTTTCATACCTTCGGTTTGATAACGATTCTTCACAAGCCGTTCGGTTGAGGCGCCAGATGTCTATCTAGGGTCTAAAATCGGGCATCAGCTTAGCCGGAAAAAGTATACCAACAAACAGGAGAAACCAGACGAAATGTATTCACCCTCTTTCGTGTAAACTGATACAGAGACTGGTAGGTGAAATTTCCCACAGTCAGATAACTAGACTTCCCGTTGGTTACCGTGTCGCTACACTGTCATGGTTCGATTCCGGCTTGGGATGCTGATGCGACCAGTTGAGGCGAGGTCAAAGCTTCAGTCCTCTTCAGCCTCTTGGGGAAACAAGGCTATGTGCAGTTGAATGGAAACGTAAATTATACTCATTTGGTTGTGGGAAAATTCAATTACCAGTCAGGACAGACGAAATGGTATGAATATATCTCACGTATATGGTCTACTGGTAGTCTGGAAAACCTGTTTCTAAAACAAAAAATAAGTCATCGTCTGTGCTCTGAAGTTAGCTGACAAGTAGCGGAATCAAAGAGTGAATTGTCGACCTTTAAAAAAAGTAATCATTCCTTTCAATTAACGTCCCCACACGCAAAAATGGCAAGAAACAGTGACCCATTTCCCAATCGGCAGGGCACAGAACCACATGAAGGGTCGGGGCACTCCCGAGAGGACTCGAAGTGCGATCACGAGGAAGGGGCTAAGAGAAAGTGTGACTGCTCCAACGCGGCTGGCCGGCTTGCCCACTCTTGCTTCCAGACCTACTCATTTCGCATATGAGTAACGTGTTTGATTGGAAATGCAGAAGCACTCTTGTCGTCTGGCAACCTTGGTTGCGTTGCGCGATGCGCTCGACTCGGTTTGCAATTCCGTTGCGAGTGCATGTTGATGAAAATGTAGTCACGTCGAGATGGGATAACTCTTTTCGGACGGAACCATCGTGGAGCCAGTGGACATTTCCACGATCACTCAGCGACCTAAGCCGACTCAAGTGCTCCTCTTTCGATGGCGTCGAGTTGGAAATATATGACGGCCAACCACTCGAAGTACAGCCATGGCTCATCAACAATCGGATCACCGAGGCCAGCAGCCAAATAGACCAATTTGCTTGTAATCCACCAGAGGCCATTAGCTGCTTTTGTGCAGGTTGAGATGAGAAGTAAAGTGCAAAGCTGGCGGCAAGGTTGGTTGGGCTACTTGCATGCAAGCGGTGGGGGCGGTGGAGAAACAAGTTTTCTTGAAGCGTCAATTCTCTACGAAACTGGCTGACAGGAAGAGCGTTGACCTGCAGTGCCAAGTCATTATAACCTTGACCAGATAACTTAGTTCTGTGCCAACAGACTGTTGAATGATGAGTGCAAGAATGGCCTGTTTTTCGCTTATTAAGCGGCATAGTCAAGTGAAGAGTAAATGTAAATCGAACCAGTTGATGGGGTACAACAGCAATTGGAACTTTATCAGTCTAAATTACTCAATCTGGCCTAGTTATTGATAGAGAATGTTTTTGACCCAATGAAACGAGCAGATTTCATGATGTCATTACATTATATGCGAAGAAAAGTTGGGTTTCGAGGAATCTCATGTTTCACAATTGTACAGCTGACTTCCATTTCGAGTGAAAGTGTTCCGTGAAGAGATTCGAAGCTCGTTTCCACCAGAAGAAGACAGCCGATTTCTCTTGACCAACAGTCGATTGGCTTTGCTGGTAAATTCATGGCGACGCTGTTTCCGGCGTAATCTCACTCAATTCCGGTGAAAAGGTGCTAAGCTTTCGTCTGTGGTATGAAGAAGATCATCAGAGCAAGGAGGGTATCATGTCCACAACCAAAATGAAGCTAACGAGTCAAGAAAACTCAGACATACACACTCACATGCTTTGAGGTGGGCATATGACTGGAACTAACAAAATCACTTTAAACCTGGTCAAATAGATCAGATTTCAACTGTACATACATCATTTAGGGATGAGCCGGTG